TCTGTAGTGATACCACCTTGGAAACCCAAGGAGGCGTCGCTATGAGTTGGGTCCAACTCGAAGGCACATAACAACAACAACAGCATTTATATAATTTAAAATATGTAATAGATTACTGGGAACTCTGGTAGCGTAATGCCTAAGGCACTTCTTGACTGCTAACCAGAAGGCTGGCAGTTCAAATCCACCAGCCACTCCTTGGAAGGAAGGTTGGGCAATCTACTTCTGTAGTGATACCGCTTTGGAAATTCGACGGCATAAAACAACAACAACAACAAATTACTTGGAAATTTGAGGAGAAAATTCCAAGCTAAAGAGGCTACTGGTTAAGCAATTCTGATGCAGGCAATTCTGGCGGTCTGCTGGCCATGCTGATGGTGCAAGTTAAGGGATTATTAGGTTGACTACATGCCCTCTGCTTTTCTTTCTTGTGTTTGTTTTCTTTGGGGACAAAATTGGAAAGTTGATGGGGCCCCAGAGATTTATGAAAGCAAATTTTTTAAAAAGACAGAAAGAAAAGTAGGAGGGGAGAGACATTTGCAGTGATAAGTGTTTTCTGCTATAAGAGCCATGAAAGAATATAAGAGTTTGATTCCGGTGAGTGAATTGGCAATACAGATCAAAAAGAATCCACAGTGATGACAGGATAGCACCTCCTGAGACATGTCTCTGAATTACATCAAGAACTTCTATGAAGGATGTGTAAGTATGTATGAGAAATCAATTATGTGAGTCTTGACTGTATATTTTAGCCTGGTTTTCATGAAACACTCATGCACTCTACATATATGGAGAATAATGTAAATATCAAATATAAATTTCAAAGTATTCAGAATTTAAAACTGTAAGTCAAAGAATTCAGGAAGTAACTTCAACTGATGGTGTTTTAAAGCAGTTTACTCTCTCAGTTTCATGACTAAGACATAGAAAATAAGCTGCAATGACATGTAATACTAAAGAAACATCACCAAGTTTTTAAGAGAGTAGGTATGCTAATGAGTTTAACACTGAGTTGTTATCTAATCTTCTAAAATAGCTACCAGATAGACTAAGATTCTTGGGATTTTATTGCAAAAGGATTACAGTGATAGAGGATATTAACTGGATTTTAATTTTTTTAAAAATTTCCAAATTCCACAGTCATTAGAAAGATGTCTCTGTGAGGCTGTTATATTTGATATTTTGAGAGTGAAAAGAGGATGAGAAATCTCTTAATGCAGGATTGCATTTGGTTTGATGATCTCTAAGGGTCTATCCTGCTTTAAAATTTCATGAATTCTACATTTTTTAAAAAAGTGATAATGAACACGTGGTTTAAAATGGCTTTCTGAAATGCTTGTTTTCAAATGACTTTTTTCCCCCTTCCTAAAATGATTTCAGGCAAAGCCTCCAACAATTATTAGTCAATTCCACATCCTGTTCTTTGGATCAGTCCGAATGTTTTTCCTTGGGGTGCTGGGCTTTGCAGTCTATGGGAATGAGGCTTTACACTTCAGCTGTGATCCAGACAAGAGGGAAATAAATCTCTTCTGTTACAATCAGTTAAGGCCAATCACTCCACAAGTAAGTTTTTTCCTTTACATACTTAAACTTTACAACATATATATATATATATTTTTTTTTTCTTTTTAAAAGTAAAATAATGCCATAATAAGATGAGAAATACTCTAACAGGTATTATTTCAAGAATTATTTTCATTTTCCTCTAACTAGCTGGATATTCCAGGTAAATAAAGCTGAGTTGGTTTGTTCCAACACCAGCATTCTATGAGCTATTCAAGTCAAAATTATATTCCAGGCTGGTATTTAGAAAATGAAGTAGCTACAAAAATAAAGTCATTCATCATTATTAATAATTAATAGATAGCAGTAAAATACGATTATATTTTCTCACAAATACTAGGTTTAAAGTTTTAAAAAGCATAGTAAGTAAATAACATTCAACATTACCGTCTTCATTATATGGATTTTACTGCTTCTAAGAATTTATGACATTTATGCATTTTAGGTTAACCTTTTTGACAGCGAGTGTATTTCTTACTGTACTTTTTGCTTACATGTTGATTGATTGACTTGGCCAACATATTTCTGACATACTGTAGGTATTCTGGGCATTGCAACTAGTGATCATCCTGGTACCAGGAGCGATTTTTCACCTTCATGCTGCACGTAGAAGCATCAACGAAGAATGCTTTCTTTAAAAGCCCATTTACACGGTGCTTTATATTCTTTCTGTCCTATTCAGAACTAGTCTAGAAGCGATAGCATTTTGGCTTCAGATTCACCTCTTTGTTTTCCAAGTAGAACCTATTTACCTTTGTGATGCTAGCTCTCTGAAAGAAAAAAAGTAACATCATAAGATGCCTGGTGCCACAACACTTTGAGAAAACCATTTTTCTGATTGCAATGTATACATTTACCATCATCACAATAATATTATGTGTTGCTGAAATTTTTTAGATCATATTTAGAAGACCATGCTTTCTAATTTGGCAATGATTAGAGAGTTGATAACCGACTGCTACGCCACTGTCATTTGTCAATATTTTTTACTTAGTTTTATCTTATTCAGTAAGAACCTCAATTTCAAACATAAACATCTGTGTTTTAATCTTATGACAGTGTATCGGAAATCTCTACCTAATACAAAGTTCTAAGGCAAATATGGAACAAAGATTTCATTCTATTCTGCATTTGTCATTTATTTCATTAGAATATATACATGGAACTCATGTTAACTCATGTTTGAACAGCACTTTTACAGAATTTTCTCATATACAACACTTTGCTTGATGACGGCACTTTGTGACCAGAGAAGCTTTTATTTCTCTCATGCACAAAGTTGAAAATCAAGTTGAGGGAGGTTAATTTCTATGCCCAAAGTCATACAACTAGGATTCCAATTTCAGATTGCCTGATTAAAAAATCATTTCTCTTTCCACTGCACCATATAGCTTTAACGTTGTGGATGTAGTTATTTCTGCAAAATATAACTTAAGCACAACAGTTGTGAATTAATTATTAAAAGAGTCATTCCACAGTTGGATCAGTATTTGAAGAACTGGAGCAATTATGTTATTAATATTTTACTCATTTATACTGTTTCTCTGAAATTTTTTCATATTAAATGATAGCTACCAAACAAATAAATAATGTTATAGAAAATGTGATGCTTTGTTTCCTTGTTTCTTGTTGAAATAAAGAACACTGTGCCCATATATTTCCTATGATTATAGCTTAATATGCCATAACAAGATGAGGAATACCCTAATAGGTATTATTTCAAGAATTATGTTCATTTTCCTCTAGTTAGCTGGATATGGCAGGTAAATTAATCTGAGTTGGTCAAAAGTTTCTTCCAATAGAGCATCCATTCAAGATTACTGAGATGGAAAATTACCTGTATGTTAAATTAGATGTCCTCAATATTGTGAAATTATTTCAGAGATATTATATATATATATATATATATATGCATTACTTTTTATCAGCCTACCATACAAACAATTATCTTAATTTTATATCATTTTGAATCCTTATGTTATAATAGCCTTATACCGATGCCTTATTTGGGAAATACATATAGTCAACCAAATACTAATGTTTTCCATTTTTTCTTAAGGATTGTTAAGCTTATGTTCATGACTTTCTGGATTTATTATTTTAAAAATCACTGAGGATTTCTCCACATGAAAGCACAGGAGAAAATCCACTTGTAAATTGATAATTACTCTAAAGAGATCAATAGATCATTCATTCACCGTAATATGATTAGCCAGTTCAGAAGAAACTTTCAGTGTTCTTTGAAGTTAATGTGGTTAATGTTAAAGTTTAGAAAACTAAGTTTGGTTAATTTATCCAATGTGTTAATATAGGAAAATGTCATTCAAAAATTTAATATATCATCTCTCCCATCACATGCAACAATTGAATTTAACATTTCCAAGATGAAAAAAGGAGCTCTAGTGGCTCAGTGGTTAAAGCATTTGACTGCTAAACAAAGGTCAGCGGTTCAACCCACCAGCCACTCTGCAGAAAGATGAGGCAGTCTGGTTCCATTAAGATTTACAGCCTTGGAAACCCTAGGGACAGTTCTACTCTGTCCTATAGGGTCTCTATGAGTCTGAAATGATTCCATGGCAGTGGGTTTTGAGTAAGATGAAAAAGGCATCTGTGGACACTATTATCATCTGGGGAACCGTAACTGAATAATTCCTAAATAATGCCAAAAGCAATTCACGCCTTCAGCCTTTCCTCCAATTATCAAACATGCACTATTCCCTTCTTGCCTTTCACTTTTACCCAGCTCTGGTAGCATAGTGCCCATGGCACTTGACTGCTAGAGAAGGCTGGCTGTTCAAACCTACCAGCCACTCCTCGGAAGGAAGATGGGGCAATCTACTTCCCTAGTGATACTGCCTCGGAAACCCAAGGAGGGGTCGCTATGAGTCCGGTCGACTCGATGGCACATAAAACAACAAGATGGAGCTCTGGTAGTATAGTGGTTAAAGCGTTTCGCTGCTAATTAAAAGGTCCGGGGTTCAAACCCACCAACCGCTCATTGGGAGACGGATGAGACAGCCAGCTTCCATAAATTATGCCTTGGAAACCCTAAGGGGCAGTTCTACTCTTCCTAAAGGGTCGCTATGAGTCGGAATGGAATTGATGGCAGTGAGTTTGGGTTTACATTTGGTTTCTGCCACAAACGTGAGGAGGAAAAAAAGTAAAGCAATACTGTACACTCTCTCCCTCCTACCAGTAGAGAGCGCTGGTGCTATATGCGGCATAACCACCAAGGCGCTCAGCTTTCCCCGACCTCTAACCGCCACAAACCAAGCACAGCGAGGTTGTCCCTAGTGGGAACCCGTAGTTGACTTTCTGTTGCCGAGCAATGAAAGAGTGGGCGAGATTTGCCGAGCGCGCTCGCGTGCGCGGCCCCGCAGGCGGAAGCGGAAGTGTCGGTTGCGCGCGAGTAGGAAGTGGTGAGCAGTGGTGGAGAGATGGCCGCTCTTGCTCCGCTGCCCCCGCTCCCCCCCCAGTTTAAGAGCATACAGCATCATCTGCGAACGGCACAGGAGCATGACAAGAGGGACGCTGTGGTGGCCTATTACTGTGAGTCTTTCCGAGTTGCCGCGCCCCTGCTTACCCAGTTACACTCTGGGGCCCACCCACCGCTCCTGGGTTCGTCGATCAGGCCCCGCCCCCTTGATTTACACCTGGCTTTGACCTCTGTCCCGCCCTGGAACTCCCTAGGTCTCCACCCTCCACTGGGCGCCAGACCCTCCGCCCTCTCGTTTATTTCAAGAAGGCAAAAATCCTCAAGCACTGTGGTGGCCACTGCTGCTCTTGTCTTGTTCTTATTAAGTATTCCTGAAGTAACTGCACGGAACCAAGAATTCTGGAACCAACTGCTCGTGGTTTTCCTTAAGAATCACCTGTGTCCACGAGGAAATCCTGAAAATAACCTGTGTAGTTGAGTAACTGAGTTGTAGCCAAAACGATGGTGAATATCTCAAAGATTGAATGATGTGGACAAAAGAAAGACTATTTGAAAAGATCGTAATAAATGCAATTTACTTATGACAACAATCTCAAATGGAGAGAATCTGCTACCAAACAAGCAATTGGATTTGACAATTTATTTCATTCTCTCTTCTGCACTAAAACTGCTCTCTCACCAATGAGACATTTAATCTTGACTTCTTTGCATAATAGTTGGTGTTGAGTCGGCAATGTTCCCACTGTGGTCTGTTGAGATACATAAAGTGTGCAGTTGATGGAAAACCCTGGTTAAATTTGTTCAGGCTTTTTCCCTTGCAATGATCGAAGGCCTTGCTGTCACCCAGGGAAGAGTTCTTCACCTTCAGAGAGGGAGCAGCTAGGAAGTCCTGGGGCAGGAACTTCTGCGGAGTTCTCAAAATTGAGCAGAGGCCCTATGACTAGAGTAGCTAAAGCAAGAGAGGGGTGTAGTAAGGAAAAACAAAAAATGTAAGAGGACCCCCTGTTCTTGTTTGCACACTAATCCCTATTCGTGAGTTCTGTATTCTACAGACCTTCTTTTACTGCTCAGGGACATAGCTGTGTCAGTTATTCCTTTATTTATTGTATCATTTTCCTCTCCCTCCAAGAATTTTTTTCTAAATTTGCCCCAATGTCATTTATTAAAAAAAAAAAAAAAAAACTCACTAAAATAGTCCCCAGGAGCTCTGGTAGCTTAGTGCCTAAGGCACTTGACAGCTAACCAGAAGGCTGGCAGTTCAAACCCACCACTCACTCCTTGGAAGGAAGATTGGGCAACATAATTTGGTAATGATACTGCCTTGGAAACCCAAGGAGGAGTCACTATGAGTCAGGTCTGATTTGACGGCACATAACAACAACAACAACAACAAAATAGACCCCTGAAGTTGTAGTCTGCCCAGTTTTCTAGGTAGGCTTGAAATAATTGTGTGTAGTTATCTTGACTTTCTTGTCTCTCAGAGCCTGGTGGCTACCCAGAGTCATAAACAAATATTCATTGCTAAATCTAATTGAGGAGCTCTGGTAGCATAGTGACTAAGGCACTTGACTGCTAACCAGAAGGCTGGTGGTTCAAACCCACCAGCCACTCCTCAGAAGGAAGATGGGGCAATCTACTTCCGTAGTGATACTGCCACGGAAACCCAAGGAGGGGTTGCTATGAGTTGGGTCCCACTCGATGGCACATAACAACAACAACAACAAATCTAATTGACGCTTTAAAACTATGTGTTCTCAACAGCAACAAATTAAAAAAAAAAAAAACTTAAATTTGTTCTGAGACGTGCATATAAAATTATATAGTGTACATATAGACTTTAAAAAAAGAAAAACACTAATGTACCCACCACACTGGATATTATTAGACTTCATAAATTTTTGCTTATCTGGTGGGTGTGAAATGATGTCTCTTTGGAATGAAATTTGCAATTCCCTGAGTCTTAATGAGGTTGAGCCCCTTTTCATATGTTAATTATCCATTTTTACTTACTACCTTTTGAAATGCATATTTATTTCTTTTGTCTAGTTTTCTATTGTACTTTATCTTAATAATCTAGTTAGGAATCCTTTGTTATATATGCTCTGAGTTCCTTCTTCCAATTTACCATTTGATTTTTCACTCTTAATCTTTTAATGTTCAAGTGTCCTTAACTTTAAAATATAGTTTCTCAGTCTCTTTTATGATTTCCATTCTGATTTGTGTCGATTTTGATTCTTGAGATTTGGGCTTCCTGAATCTGTGGATGGGTGTCTTTCATCAGTCTGGCAAATTCTCTATTATCTTTTTAAATGTTCTCTTTTATTCTGTTTTCTTCTGATATTTTGATTATACCTGTATTGCACCTTGTCTCTGTAAAGTCGTTTTCTCTTAATCCTTTCATATTCTTCATCTCTTTCTTTTGTTTCTCTGTACTACCTTTAGGACTGATGCACACACCACCATGGAGTCAGATCCGACTCATAGCAACCCCTCCTTGAGTTTCCAAGGCAGTATCGCTACGGAAGTAGATTGCCCAACCGTCCTTCTGAGGAGTGGCTGGTGGGTTTGAACCTCTAGCCTTCTGGTTAGCAGTCAAGTGCCTTAGGGACTGCCACCAGAGCTCCTTAGGACTGTCTCCACCCCCATGTGTTCTGTTGGTCACCTTATTTATTGCATTTCCACTTCCAGTTTTTATAGTTGGATGTTCTGTTTTTTGTTTTCAAATCGGTATGGCCATTTCTGATCATCTGTTGTTGACTAGTGATCTTTTTTAAACATTCATTTCTTTAAGCAGTTTAAAGATCTTTACCTATGTTTATATTTTCCATCTGATAATTCCTACAACTTTGGCATGTACAGTCTCATCCTGCTGTTGAACAGAAGGTTGCTCCTGGTAACTTGTTTACTTTCTCTGTATATGAGCCCTAGTCATGCTGAACCAGTGCTCTTCAAACTGGGGTATGGAAGTAATTCTAAAAGGATATATTTCCCAATTCTCAACTTCCGTGTGCTTTCTTTCCTGAAAACTCATCTTCCTGATAAAGCTCCCATGGAATCGGAGTAATAAGGTAGCATGTTGCTTCTCATTTCTCACCATCCTATTTTCAGTTGCCTTTCTCCTGTTTTAAAAAAGAAGGTATACTCTCACTCTTGGTGAATATTTTTATGGTGCTTGGCCTTGGAAGAGAAGGTGGAAAACCCTCTAGGGTGTCCAGAAAAAAGGGATAATTCAAATTACTGGTGTTAGTGAAGCCTCCTTTAATCAAGGTATTGGTGGAGCTTCGTGTCTTCACTTGTCTTATAGGAAAGAAAGTCAAAGCAAAAGACACACCTTTATTTGAAAATCTCAGGCTTGGGGAGGTTGCAAAGGAACGTTCTAGCTTGGGGAAGGAGAGTACAGCTTTTTATAAGGGGCAAAGGAAGCATGTGTCGTTGGTTTCCTTTTAGAAATAGTTGGTCAGGAGTGGATCTCAGAGGAATTGTGCGTGGAGATTCGCAGCCATTGCTTGATCAGTTTAGGTTTTACCGGGCGGGATGCAGAGGAATGAGTTGGGGCTGAGGACAAGTGCACGAGGGGGTAGAAAGGATTAGCTCTGGGAGAAAGGCTACAGAAAGAGCCTGTCTTTGAGAATCTCTTAAGACTTCTATATAGACTTGCTAAGGGTAATGCTCTGGTAGCATAGTGCCTAAGGCACTTGACTGCTAACCAGAAGGCTGGAGGTTCAAACCCACCAGCCACTCCTCAGAAGGGGCAGTCTACTTCCTAGTGATACTGCCTCGGAAATCCAAGGAGGGGTCACTATGAGTTGAGTCCAACTCCATGGTACATAACAACAACAACAGCAAAGGGTGATGCCAGGGGTTAAAAACTTCCCTATGTGGCAGTGTTTTAAATTCCCAAAATGCTAAGAGTTTTCTTTAAATGACCTTCACCTTTTCATTCTTGGAACATGAAACAGTATCATTCTGAATTGAGATTAAAACAAAAACAAAGATAGAAATGCAGAGGTCGGCACCACCTCCTTTCATCCAAGCGAGTGCTCTTGTGTGAGTCCAGTTTATTTTAGAATTAGAACAGAGAAATGAGGTGGGTTGTATGGCAACATGGATTAACAAATTTATTTGAATTGGAAAATTAAGTCATACTTTTCTGAAAATATAAATCTGGTTTGACTGATCGGTTTGGAACTGCCTTTGCCAATTATATAATACAGTGGATACTCTCCTTAAAATACATGAGCTAAATCTTCCTTTCTGAGGTGTTTTGTTTTGTTTTGTTTTAGAAGTATATTTAAAACATAATGGTTAAACAATTTTTTTTTTTTTGGCAAGGGGTGTTAATGTTTTAATTTTCCCAGTTCTTTATCAGTTTATTAGGATAAACAAACCCCTCCTCCTGCCCAGGAAAAAAACAAAAAACATTGCTGTCATGTTGATTCCAAGTCATAGAGACCCTATAGTACAGAGTAGAACTGTCCCATACTTTGTCCAGCGCTATAAATCTTTACAGAAGCAGACTGTCACATCTTTTCCCATAGGATGTCTAGTGGCTTTGAACCCCCTGCCTTTCCATTAGCAGCCAAGTGCTTAAACTCTGCACCACCGGGCTCCTTAACGATAAACAAGAAACCACTAATTGAAACACAATGTTGAATCTCCGTAAGGTCTTCTGTATACTTCACAAGCATTCAGAAAATGAATGACTCTAGTGTTGGGGTAACAAATCCGTTTAGTTTTTAAACAAACTTTGAAGTAGACCGAAGAGAATTGTCTGCTGAAAGATTATTAAAAACATTATTGGATGAGAGGTGATATGATATTTTAGCCTGTACCCAGAAGGAATTTAGAAGATCCAGTGATTTGCTGTGACAAAACTCCTTCCACGCTTAACTCCTAGTTTATGTGCATGAAGTTTGTCTAGTGTTAAATTTATACAAATGAAACAAATAAAATTGACACTCCAGCTCATTATGACAGTAAATCATACTGATTTATGGATGTATGATCTAACACATTGTAAGATGCATTTCCAAAAAAATGTTACTGAATTCCAGAAGTAAAAATTTCAATTTCAGTTTTTATATACTTTTCGTTGCAGCGAAGAAGTATGATA